GTTAATATTCCTATTTGTAAACCATTTATACATTTTCCAAACAAAGGTTAAAATATGCAATACTTGGGGAGTAACTTACGGTATGAGAGAATAGGAAAAGTAGTCTGTAGAATGGCAAGCGTAAGCAAGAAAGTGGCAGCAAAGACTGAAATGAGTGCCCATGGACTGTTAAGATATCTTCGCCTCAATGTTGCCATCCTTATATTCCATATGCGGCGACAATGATGGTTCACAACGTTGAAAATATTAGAATACGAAAACTTATCAGATATTATGATATTCTTCCCTAGCTGGTTGATTAGAAGATAAACCATTTTATCGCTCCCCAAAAAGTTGCTAATGATTCCATAACAGCGCAACAATTTTGCATCATCTGGGGAATGGACGAGACAATGCATAAAGAATACATAGTCCGTCACATATTTTTGAGGACTGCCTGGGAGGTAGTACTCATATGCCATCAGATTTCGGAACAACGATTCTGTTGAATCAGAAATTTCCCATTCTGGAATGATCGTTGTTTTATTTTTGAATTCAATGTGAAACAAACTATTACATTCCGACTTTTTGAAGGAAATCCCTGCTTCTTTGATCTCTACAGCTGAATTTATATTCGCCACGTTATCAGGATCTCCAGAATCCATATGAGATAATATTGTTGCAAATGATGAACACTGGATGTCATGTACAATACCAAGAAGATGGTGACCATTAATAGGGACTTCAGGAAGACCTTGCGCTGGGAAAATGCCATTTCCTAGTAAAGGCAGTATTAGAGAATTGATGTTGTCTTCATCGTTGATCTTGATTATGTTGAACAAACGATCAATGATGAAAAATGGAATCTGATTCTCAAATACCATTAGATCATGAAGCAAATGACTTTGCATATATCCATACTGGAAAATGGGGTCATCTTCATCCCTACATTCTATTTGTTGAAACTTATGGAGAAATTCGATGATAAAACAGCCATCAAGAATCAACATTTGCACAAACTCATCTTCATCAAGTTGGATGTCTTCAGCATAACATTTCCGCGCCATGTCTTCTAAGTGTCTTATTGTGGTAACATATCTTTCTACACTTGACTCATTTCTTCTTTCAAGAAACAGCTTTAGATATCTGACTTTGTGTTGCTCCATCTTCTGCAAGTTAGATTTCCCGCGGTGATATGGGCCAATGGCTATTATTTCTGGATCGTAAGACTCTGGATTTATGCTGCGTAAATGATCACCAACTCTAAATATTGAGGGTTTTGAAGGCGTCGAGGACAAGCTCTTAAGCATCATATCATCAATGTCAACGGTGACAATGTCAGCTCTCGTCTCAGACATTTTTAACTGTTTGTGGAAAATCAGAAACAAGTAGCTTGATTTACCAACGAATCAATCCATCCAATCCTATACAAGCTTTTAGGATAACTTAACTTATGGGTTGAAAGTTCAAATTTTCTGGCTGACTCACATAATCTTTTCTGAGGATTTCTTGATTAATCAACATTGGATGCCTTGTCAGATGTCAACTCTCCCCATGAATCTTCTTTTCTCCACACTTGAACACACACCCCATATTGTATATTCCTCTGCCAAGGCTGATGACTTTCAATGTGATTTCTCAGATGGCTGCTGTTGTGATTTTTTATGGGAAAAAAAACAAGCGGACATGTGGATTTCGAGGGCACTTGTGATTTAGATTCTATTTTTTTAGTGGAATCAAATAGTGATTAAATTAGATTATTTAATGTAATGAGCTATTAAAATTAATTGAGTAAACTAAAAATTTCAATAAACC